AATGAATGTCATTTATTTATAGAGAATTGATATACTGTATAGGCAATTTTTTGTTGTTAGACTTTAAACTGTTACTGTACCTCCATGAGCAGCTTGCCTGATAACTGCAGATAAGAAAGATATGACATATGGTTGCTAAGCAGAATTTAGATGTATCTGTTGTTGTAAGGTGGTCAGTGTCTTTCTGGAAAAAGTTAAGCAGTATTTATTTATTAGTTGTTTAGTTGTATAGTAAATAGTACTATATATGTATATTTTAGTACAATATTCTTGTTTACATTATGTACTCCATAAAAGCTATATAGCATTTGCTACATTTATTGAACTACAGTATGTTTGTTAGCTTACTTCCTATTTATTTATTTATTTAGTATCTACCTCATCAGACCTTTATACAGTACTACTCTACTGAATTATTTTGAAGTTATTCCTGAAATGCTTTGCATACTGGTAGCCTTATTGCTTTGTAACACTTAATAAACAAATGTATGTTATTTTTTTTGTATATACAGTAGTATTTAAAAATATTATTATTATTATAATTACAGTATTATTAATATTTTCTTAATGAGGTATTCAGATACCTGCATTTCTTAGTGAAATTTGTTTTCTAAAACTGTGTTATGAAATACCTGTGCTATATATAATAGATTCCTATCAAAGTCCTTAATGTACAGTATGTACAAAATACAGTTTCTTGGGAAGCCCCCTGAAGTTATACTGCTGAGATTGCTCCACCTAAGGGTTATGTCAGCCTTAGGAGTCATGTTTTTCCTACCAGGGACCAGAGCCAGAACTGGCCACCCCCAGCCTCACAGAGGTGCAGAAAGCGAGTGACAATACCCCACCCCATCAGGAAAGCATCCATAAAGCCAGCGAAGCATTACAGACAACTGAAGGGTTCACAGAAAACACAACCTCAAAACTGCCAAACAGCTCTGCAAATGATTCAGACGAAACGATTAATTCACTCAAAACTAGCTCGTACTCATTAATACCGAAGAAATATAAGAAAATTAACTTTCGCAAACAGTGGTAGATGGTTGGAACAAATAAGGTGAGAAGGTGGTAGAGGCCAAAACCATCGGTAATTTCAAAGCGTTGTATGACAGAGTGCTGGGAAGACGGGACACCACGAGTGTAGCTCTCATCCTGCAACTACACTCACTTGGTAATTACCGATGTATTAACAAAAACCTAAACATGCAGTATTACATGTTTAGGTTCTCATGAAGGGGTGCTCTGAGCAACTCTGCAAGAATGTGGTTTTGCTTGGTTCTGCCCCAGGTAATTACTTAAGTGTACAGGATGTACATGTATAGTTACAGGATGTATAGTTACAGGATGAGAGCAATGCTCGTGATGTCCTGTCTTCCCAGCTAAGTTTGGTATCTTCCCTATTATCTTAGTATCAAAAGCAAATATGTTCATATAATTTTGTATTCCATCTGGTAGATCGTTATGTAGATAATGAACATTACTGGTGCAAGAACTGAACCCTGTGGTACTCCACTCATGATAATTCTCCAGTCTGATTCATTGCCTCTGATTGCTGCTGTAATTTTTTTGTCAGAAAATTTTTCATCCATGTTAGAAGCACATACGAAATTTCTCCCCCAACAATACTGTTTGCAGTGTTATTACACTATATACACACATAATATATAAATATCTAAATGTTTTATGTACTGTAACTGTACACTTAAGCTTGTTGGATTCCCAAAGAGCATAGTGGCCACCCTCAACACAGCCAGACAAGTCATGCAGACGACGCCACCTCCGTCACCCAAATAACTCCACCCAACATAATCCTTTTGCTGTTATTACACTAATGCACACATTATATATAAGTATCTACATTTGTGTTCATCATAGAGAACCACTGAGCTAGTATGGTGAATGCAGACAATAACAGGTGGCCACACAGTCTGTAAATGATGCTATCTCCCTCCGTCCCTCAGCATCACTCCTTCCACAGTGCTAATTATCACAACAACCCTGCTATTATTACAATCCCTGTAATTTTTATCACAGTCAGGGGGTCATCTGTAATGCTATCATCGCTAAATAATAGCAGTTATATATTTATTTTGACATTTTTCGGCGATGCTGTGGTCACAAGCTAAACAGCAATGCTGTTCGCTCATGCTGCGTGCGCCAGCCTTGGTTGCTCCAACAGTACTGTGGCTCTCACCGGAGAATATTGCCCACGATTTGTTTTAAACATGGCGTCTGTTTACAAGAGCCCTGAGGAAGCTAATGTGAACCCTGTGTAGCCACGGGCCGTTTGAATCGTGTCTGGCACCCTACGGCCTATATATACGCCATGTGCACCGTGGGACATGTTACTCATGGTGTATATATACGCCATGCGCAGTTTAAGGATTAAGGGGTGGTTCTTGTCTCTCATATTTTCCTATCCTCTTAAAATCACTGACATTTTCCTTTGCATTGAAGCCTTCTCCTAAACCTACTATTTTCTCTATGATTTTCATCTCTGCTGCTCTTCCCACCCTAGATGATATTTCCTTTTCTAAACACCTGAAAATTATTATGGACTTACTTCTGTCTGCAGTGTTTTGTACTAATTTACTGTTGGTAACCAGCTCTTTCCTATTTGCTTGCCTAACTTCTGCTTCTTATAGATAAGTAATAAATAAATGTTTATTTAGGTAAAAGTACATACACACACAAGATGAGTTACAAACAGAATGTTTGATTTCTAGATAAAGCTAGTACATACTATGCCTAAAGCCACTACAGTAATATGCACAGCATTTTGGACAATTGGTCTTGGTCATTTCTGATCATAGATTTATGATCAGGTGTAGGATACATTGTGTTTACAACTTCCTGTGGTCGGCTGGCAATAGTGTTGATTGCTCCGTCCACTCTAGAGAGTGTGTTAACTTGTATCGAGGTTCATTCCTGAGCACGTGTCCTGTGTCATACTATTCCTTACCATTTGAATTTGCTTTATCACATTGTTAACTAGTAAGAACCTTGTTAACATATGTGAAGTGTTATTGGAATATATGAAAATTGCTTATCGAGTTGTGGAAAGATTACAGAGTAATATAACTAATTTGAGTAAATCCCAGATTTTGTGGGACCAATAGTCAAAGTTAATACCTTGTCTGTTAAATATTACCTCTTATTTGTAAAGCAACTTCAAGACATAGAAATAATGTCCCTTTGTAATTATAGAAACTATTATTTTTCTTGTTTTTATACCCAAACCTTATTTGGCCCCAAGGAGAGAGGAGTGTATGTTCCCGCTCAGGTATGTATGATAAATTATTCACTATAAGAACTATTATAGGGCAGACTCTAGAGTAAATCCCAGATTTTGATCTGGCCAGCCCCGCTCTGGAGGGGCCGGCCGGTCGAGTGGACAGCATGCTGGACACGTGATTCTGTGGTCCCAGGTTTGATCTCAGGCGCCGGTGAGAAATGATGGGCAGAATTTCTTTCACCCTATGCCTCTGTTACCTAGCAGTAAATAGGTACCTGAGAGTTAGTCAGCTGTCAGGGGCTGCTTCCAGAGGGGTGGAGGCCTGGTTGAGGACTGGGACACGGAGACACTAAAGCCTCGAAATCATCTCAAGATAACCTTTTTATTTCGTGCAGTAAAGGGCGGGTTTTGATAGTTTGTACTCCAGTGTATGACTTAGAAGCGCGTGCCTTTACACATTCCACATCAGGTTCCCTCAGTTTTTAATCCTCCTAACATTATTTCCATATGCATTACAAAAGAGGCCCTTTCCTTACAGCATGAATGCTTGCCTGCCCGGCTCCCTCCCCTCAAGTTCTGTCAACCTCATACTCCTCCTCTACTCCCACCTGCCTTCCATCCATCTATCCAGCCTCCTGTTTACCAACCAGCCAGCCATCCATCCATCTATCTGTCTGTCCATTTATCCATCTCACTTGCCTGCCAGCCATCCAGCCCACCCACCTGCCTTCCTCTCTAAATAGGTTGTATGTTAGGTTGTCAGGCATAGGTGTTCCAACCATCTACCCCTCTGTTTGCAAACGACAACTTTCTAATATTTTTGGCACCTTTGTTTCTTCTTAACTTGAATCTGTCCTCTTGTTCTTGAAGTTGCTGGTTTTAGAAATTCCTCTTGTCAGTTTGGTTGATTTGGTCCTGTTATTATTTGTCAATTTGGTCAATTCCTGTTATTATTTTATAAGTGGTGATCATATCACTTTTTCTTCTATCATATTTAACATACAGGTATTTAATGTTATTTGAGATATTTAACGTTTTGGCATATTTAACATCTCTAGCCTCTCCTTGTAACTCTGATTTTACAGTTCCTGAAGCCATTTTGTAGCATGTTTTTGCACCTTTTCCAGTTTATTGATGTGCTTCTTGAGATATGGGCACCATATCATAAGAAGTGGTAATATGATATCTTCTTTTTCAAATATGGGCACCATATCTCAAGAAAAAGTCTAAGACTATCTTGAGGTTACCTTGCGGTGCTTCCGGGGCTTAGCGTCCCCGCGGCCCGGTCGTCGACCAGGCCTCCTGGTTGCTGGACTGATCAACCAGGCTGTTGGACGCGGCTGCTCGCAGCCTGACGTATGAGTCACAGCCTGGTTGATCAGGTATCCTTTGGAGGTGCTTATCCAGTTCTCTCTTGAACACTGTGAGGGGATTGCCAGTTATGCCCCTTATGTGTAGCGGAAGCGTGCTGAACAGTCTCGGGCCTCTGATGTTGATAGTTCTCTCTCAGAGTACCTGTTGCTGACTAGGTGTAACTCTTTACATAAAAACAAATGGGGGACCTTCAACAAGCTGCCGGCTTCCTGTCCTCATTGATGCCACTAGTGTTAGTGGCCCTCAGATAAATTAGGTAAATAAAATTCACAACTACATAAGTGTGGTTTTTATCCTATTTGATTACATTTGTGAGAAGATAACCATTATTCATTACTATTATTGCTGTACTGGATGCTTTTTTCAATTACACAATACCCAATCATTACAGGGTGCCATAAGCTGAGCAATGGGTTCAGAGATGGGATTGAAGCGCCGTATTGCCAGGTGGATGGAGGATCACCGTGGCCTTATTGTAGTGCTGGTGGTACTTCCTCTTTCCCTTATCTTTGATGCTGTGATGCAGTTACGACACTGGATATTTCACAAGTATATTTCTGCTCCAGAGAAGCATGATGAACGGGTCATAGATATTCAGAAACAGGTAGCGTATACAGTACTGTATTTCCTGTACGTAGGTGGCTAATTTATCAAGATGGTTACACTTTATTTTGTTGAGAAATGTGATAATTACTTGTTGATAGTTGATCTGTAGGATTAGTACAGTATTAGGTATAACTTAATGATATAAGGTTTTGTAAAAATTATTTGGTATTAGTTTTGTTATTTCTTTGGATTGTCAAGCGATTACTATGTCATATCAACTTCATACATTCAAGACTTTCATTTGGGTGATGGGAGAAAGATCCCTATTTCTTGGGAATAGCTCCTTGTGAATCCTTAAAGCTGCTATCATCTATAGTGTCCCACTCCTTAGTTACATCAGCAGCGGAGTTGCCATGAATGAGACTGAAAGAGGATTGCCATGGCCTGAGGGAGAACCAAACGGGTCCCCAAGCACTGCAGCAGCTCACCCCCTCAAAAAAATGAAAACCACCAGCAGCCCTACTACCTGCGGTGCAAGATGACGCTCCCAACATACTTGTATTCATCTGCGGCATGCTTGCATTTGTTCGCAAGCAAGCGAACCCCCAGTGGACCCCAACACAATGAAAGAATGTTCCTAATGGAAGGCTCAACAGAGGAAACAAGACACTTGAGTAACCCAAGGAGTGGCCCCACTGCACTCTGAGATGAGGTGGGGGTGGGATATCTTTGCATTGGCACTAAACTGGCATGTTCCCTCTTATGTTGCTCCATTCCTCGATTACAAGGTTCTCACACTGGATGCCTTTTGACTTTACAGGTTGAGACGAAGTGTATTTACCTCTTTCCTTTGGTTCAGTTGTTGCTCCGGGTGTTGGCCAGTCTGGAGTCATGCTCGAGAAGGGTGATCCTTCTGGCTCCTTGGTCCAGCATCTGTTTCCAGTGATTCTAGCCCCAGTGTCTGAACCCGTGCATTTATCTGCGGCTTCTCGTCTTCCAACATGTCGGACCAGCAATGTACTTCATTGGTTCAAACTTCTCTGCTCTACTCGTGGAATTTCTCATGCATTTGTATCGCCATTTGTATGGCATGTATATGACGGGTTCGTTGGTCTCTCACCTGCATCTTTCCTTTTGGCGACTGAGGTAACCTAATACTTTTATTTTTTTTCCCCTTTTCGTTCACTCTGTTCTTACCTTTTGATCATGTTATTTCTTGATTGGCATCTCATGCCAAATACTGTCATCTCATATCAACTTTGGTGCACCCACTGTTGCTTCCATTCAGTGTCAACACCTCTGTGGTGCTGTTCCACAACTTGCCTTGTGTGTTCTTCCACCTCCAGCCTGCTCATGCTCTTCCTGAGCTATCCTGGTATCTTGACAATGTTTTAGATATTCTTTCCTTGGTGATTTAAGGCTTTCCCATCAGCTTATGACGTTTTTCTTAAAGTAGTTTTCCTATTGGTTCTTGCCTCTGGCTGTTGGTTTGGGGCACTTCAGGCTCTTCTCCAGAGTCCCGGGTTCTGTTCTTATGCCCCCTTACAGGTGGGACCATCTCCTCTTTTTCTGATGAAGAGTGAGTCAGTGGGCTTCTGGAGGGGTCCTTTGATGGACCAAACCAGAACCTGAAGAGTGAGGTTTGGTTGGTTTGACCATGTTCATATAATTCAGTATTCCATCTGGTAGATCATTTATGTAGACAATGAACATCACTGATGCATCATTTGTTGTCCTGTGGCGACTCTTTGCTGCTACCTGCATGCATCTGACTCTGTTTTGATGAATGCCTTGTTGGTTGATCCTGCTTCCTGAGTTCCTAGTTCCAAGGCTCGCATGTCTCATGCTATCCACAAACAAAATAATCCCCAGTTGATGTCACCTTTTAGTATGAAGCAATCTTGGAAAGATAACGATCTCATGAAGGTAGCTTCAGGGAGCCAATGGGGCACCTACAGAAATTGCTATTTCATTACATTCAATGCTGTTTTTGTACTTCAGGTCGCACCTGTTAGTCAACTTTCAGTGACTGGTGGATCCTAACTGCTAGGTTATTTTCTTCATTAATTTGCTTTATGGTAGTGTTGTTACTATCATGATTGTAATTTGCATTGTTATGCCCTACATTCAAGGTTTTTAACTTTCAGTATTAATTAATAAAAAGCATTTACCAACCTTATGACCACTTGTGGAGTTCGTGTAGTCTCACCTGAAATTAGATGATATGGTTAGTAATATTCTTGTCCATATCATTGATGTACCATTGTGAGAGGATGGTCTCTCAAGATTATCCCACAGCTGACTTGAATGGCTCATTGCAGTGCACAGTGCACCGATCTCGTGCACAAGCCCTATCTCTGTTAACCCTGGATGGTAAACTGTCATATTGGGTGTCCCCAGGATGCCCACATAACCAGGAATACTTACTTATAAAATACAGAGGCCGCCGTATGCCCAAATATAAATTAGATACAGAGGAATTAAGCATACTTGCCATAGGGTCAGTGAGTACATGGCTGGTGCCAAGCGTGAGAGAGAGCGGGGACGCCAGCGAGGCGACAGATCTGACCTCTGGGGTCAGCCTCAACTGGCGCAATGGAGAATAACAACTGTGACATGATCATGATGTGTTCATGAAGTCATCTCTGCTACTGATCATGGAATGATCAATATGATTGGTTCCTGCTCTTTTGCTAAAACGCCATTGGTCAATTGTAAGCCCTTGTGTTTGTGCCCACGAGGAGCCCTGCAGCCGCTGGCAAGGGTATTCTAGTGTGGAGGTCCGTACAAGGTTGACGTGTCCTATTCTGTCTATCGGCCATAGACAGAAGAACACTGTCCATTCCTCACCGTCAAGTTAAACTCAGCATCTTTTCGATATGTCAACACTCGCCCGGAATCACGGTCGTGAATATATTGCTTAGAAGCCTAGTGACAAATCACTAGAGCGAAACAGACTGGTATCAGGTAACCTCTGGTGACAAATTGAGATGTCTGTGAGTGACCTAGAGTGACTTAAGGAATGCTGCTGTCTAAGTAATCTGTGTGTGACTTTACCACAGTGTACCTGTATGGTATCATATAATCAGCCGCCACCAGCCGCCCTGCCTCACAATACTACGTGACGTCACCACCTTACTCATCTCCAGTACCATCCAGTGCGTGCATGTGTCTGTTAGACATACAGCGCACCCTCCTGCGAGTACCCTCCGTGTCAAGTACGGTTTGTTGGGAAAGCCTGTCGTCAATGATCTCACGTCATAACGAGCGAAACTAGCTGTGAGGCAACCTACAAGTTCTTGCATAAATGTGCATGAGTGAGTGAGTGAGTGAATGGGAGAGGTAGCCTACCTATAAGTTCAAGATGTTGTTATTGTATTATTGTGTCTGTGTTGATTTGAGGGATCAACCACAGTTCTCACCTTCTCATACCTGACACAGGTGTTGGTGGAGACACCCGACGGTGTATGCATGTTTATCTGCGTGGTATCACAACATTACACTCATCTGTGAATGTGAGCTTCACATGCACCACACATTTAGTTATTGTGTGACCTAATTATTGTGCATGTTTATTGCCTGTCCCATTAACAGTGCCGTTGTGATTTATTGCGCATCATCATTACCCGAGTATCCGGTTGGAACTCTTGTAATCCCTTTGCATACCGGCAGATAGGTTTGCTGTGTTAATGATTGGCTGTCAATTGTGTTAAGTTAGGTGTTTCTCCACGAGTGGATCCGAATCGATTAGTCAGATGTCAAGAGTCTCGTTAATGCAACCATAGCCTTTCTGACACCAATCTAAAGTAAATCAAGCACCCTTCGTATTAGTGGTTAAGTTAGTAAGTAAACTACAGTTAAGCTTTATGCGGGGTTTTCGTTGAACCAATTCTGAATACTGATAACTATTTGCTCAAGCCTTCAGCTCCAGGTGTCTTCAACACCGAGTTGCCTATTATTCACTAATCTATAAATGTGATGAGGACCCTAGGAGTCCCTTAAAGTGTTTCAAGCATTGAGGAGATTCCAACAATGAATGTGGATCAGGACCAGGTGAGGCTAGTCTGAGACCCTCAAGGACTCTAACTCAACCTTGCTCCCAGGCCCTGTACGGTTACTCTTGTATTTTGTGTGCTGGATTCAGACAGCTTTGTGAAGCGTCTGCCACATGTACATTGGTGACGTACGCATTGCAGTCGGGAAAGCAAAATAGAAAACCCCACAACCATATGTGCCAAAATGGGTTGACCCAGGATGAGAGCTACGCTTGTGGTGTCCCATCTACCCAGCACTCTTCGCTATATAACGCTTTGAAACTACTGACGGTTTTGGCCTCAACCTGCTTCTCACTTAATTTGTTCCAACCATCTACCACTCTGTTTACAAAAGTGAATTTTCTTATATTTCTCCAGCAGCTTTGTTTCGTTAGTTTAAATCTATGACCTCTTGTTCTTAAAGTTCCAGGTCTCAGGAATTCTTCCCTATCAATTTTATCAATTCCTGTTACTATTTTGAACATAGTGATCATACCACCTCTTTTTCTTCTGTCTTCTAGTTTTGGCATATTTAATACCTCTAACCTCTCCTCGTAGCTCTTATCCATCATTTCTGGGAGCCACTTAGTGGCATGTTGTTGCACCTTTTCCAGTTTGTTGATGTGCTTCTTAAGATATGGGCACCATACAACCGCTGCATATTCCAGCTTTGGTCTAACAAAAGTCGTGAACAATTTCTTTAGTACAGTATTTCTCCATCCACGTATTTAAAAGCAATTCTGAAGTTAGAAAGTGTACCATAGGCTCCTCGCACAACATTCTATATGTGGTCCTCAGGCGATAGTTTTCTATCTAGAACCACTCCTAGATCTCTTTCTTTATCAGAATTCTATAAAGATTTCTCACATAATTTATAGGTTGTGTGGGGTTTATGTTCTCCTATTCCACATTCCATATCATGGCATTTATTCACATTAAATTCCATTTGCCAAGTGGTGCTCCATATAATTTGTCCAGGTCTTCTTGAAGGGCATGACAATCATCTAAGTTTCTTATCCTTCCTATTATCTTAGCATCATCAGCAAACATGTTCATATACTGTAATTCTGTATTCCATCTGGTAGATCATTTATGTAGACAATGAACGTCACTGGTGAAAGAACTGAACCCTGCGGTACTCCACTTGTGACATTCCTCCAGTCTGATACATTGGACTGGAGGAGATTGTGGAGATCAACTTATGACAATAACTGCACATTAAGGATTAAGATATCACCTTTATACCCTATTAATTAAGTTTTCTACTCTGCAGGTACTGAGATGGAATAAGCAGCCAAAATCATTAAGGAAATTGATGTGTACAGCTCGCCCAAATTGGCAGTCTCTGTCCACCACTTTCTTTAGAAAGGTTGGTTTAACTGACATTACTAAACAATTAAAGATAAATTATTGTACTAAAATTCTATTCTACGGTCCATTAACATTGAGACATCACACAATGTATAAAACTAATAAAAAACTTATGGTAATAATATTTTTCTATGTTAATTTCTGGAGGAACCCCAGTGGCTCCCTGAAGCTATCTTGCAGAGATTGCTTCGTACTAATAGGTCACATCGGTCGTGGAAGTTCTGCTTAGCCTATTGGGGTCCAGAGCCAAAACCTGGCCCCTTCATAAAAACACAGCTATTTTATACATGTGTTTTCTATGAATGGGCATAAAAATGCCATGAATAAAATGTCTCCAGTTCATAGAAATGCAGTGGCAGAATTTTATTCGTCCCCTCATGTGTTGGCAGGCCATGCTGGCGTCCTATTGATCAAGTGTTGTTTTCTAGGGGGTCTGTTCCCCGTTTGGAAGCGATCTGGTCTGGTGGGGAATTTGGTTGATCAGGTATTATTGTTGAAGATGCTTGTCAGGTTCTCTTTTGAACACTGCACACTGTGAGAGATCAGCCAGTTATGCCCCGAATGTGTAGGGGAAGTGTGTTGAAGAGTCTTGAGTCTTTGATGTTGATTGAGTTCTCTCTCAGCATGCCTTTTGCACCTCTGCTTTTCAGTGCATATTTTACACATCCTGCCATGCCTTCTGGTTTCATATGGTGTCATTTCTGTTTGCAAATTTGAAACCAGTCTTTCTAATACTTTCCAAGTGTAAATTATTATGTATCTCTCCTGCCTGCACTCTATGGAATAAAGATTTAACATTTTAAGCAGTCCTAATAATTTGGGTATTTTTTTAATGGATTCTAGCAGTAAAAGATCTTTGTATGTTCTTCAGGGCAGCAATTTCTCCAGCTTTGAATGGGGCTGTTAGTGTGCAACAATATTCCTCTCTAGAATATGTCTTAAAAATGTCTTAAAAAGTATCATCATTGGTATGGCATCTCCTGTTTAGAAGGTTCTCGTTATCCAACCTGTCATTTTTCTTGCAGTTGTGACAGCAACTTTGTAGCTTTCTCTAAAAACAAGGTCTTCTGACATGATTACTCCTAAATCTTTTACGTTACTTTTTCTTTTAGAAGTGTAATTTTACTGCATTTTATATGTAATTTCTGCTTTGATGTTTTTGTTTTTCCATAGCATTGTAATTGGAACTTACCTTCATTAAACATGTTATTTTCTGTGGCCCATTGAAAGATTTGATTAACATCAGATTAGAGGTTTGTTGTGTCCTTTATATTGTCTACTTATGAAAATTCTAGTATCATCTAATAAGATGCGATAAGGCACTTAAATTATTGGGATCATTTCGTCTCTCTAAATGTACTCACCAGAAAGGAGAAAAGAGAGCTATCAAATAATATACACATGGAAAATACTGGAGGGCCAAGTACCAAATCTACACAGTAAAATAACAACAAACTGGAGTGAAAGATATGGAAGTAAATGCAGAATAGAACCAGTGAAGAGCAGGGGTGCCATAGGCACAATCAGAGAACACTGTATAAACATCAGAGGTCCACAGATGTTCAACATATTCCCAGCAAGTCTAAGAAATATTGCCAGAGCAACTGTGGCTATCTTTAAGAGAAAACTGGATAGTTTTCTTCAAGAAGTGCCAGACAAACCAGGCTGTGGGGGATATGTATGTGTGTGGGCTGCTCCAAACAACAGCTTGTTGGACCAAGCTCTCACAAGTCAAGCCTGGCTTCGGGCACAGCTTGGAGAGTAGAACAACTCCCAGAACCCCATCAAGCAGGTATCTGCAAAGGATGATACAGCACTATAGTTTGTATTATTGTCTATGTCTAATATGAGGATGAGGAAAAGTACCGGGGCAAGTACGGTACTTTGGGGGACTAAGCTTTTCATGATGAAGTGAGGGTTCCTGGGCCATTGTACTTTTTGAGGAGGCTTACTTCTCCTCTTGCAAACAAAATCATGCATCACAGGGGTCTGGTTCCACCCAGAGCTATTACCAGCTCTTTTGTGACTCACCTCCATGACACACTTGCAGATCTGGCCCATTTGCCAGCTCCTGGTCCCACGATTTGTGTAGATTTTGGTTAGTTCCCATTGTCTTTGGCTGAGCTGGTTGATCCCTCCCACATATTTGGGGTTAGGTCTGTTAGCTCAGGAAGCCTCCTCAGCACTTCATCTGGTCATTGTAGATTGTTGGTCTCAGTTGCAGTCGAGCCAACCTTGTCCCTTTGGTGGGTGTCCTTGTTATTTCTGGTCCTGACGTGGGCCTTGGTGGACCCCTCATCCTTCCTTGATCTTTTGGGTCTGAACAGCTTTATCCACTGCCCACCCTTCTGTATGACTTCTTTCATCCAGGTTTGCCTACTACAATAGGCTCTAGCTTGAATGGTGTCCCTGGACCTTAAGAACATGTATTGGCATGTCCCTATTCATTCAGGGTTCAGGGACTGATTAAGTTTCGTTGTTTTGGTTGTGGGGGCATCAAGTTCTACCTTTTAGCTTGAACCCGGCCCCCTAATATGTTTACTGGTAAAGGCTGTTGTGGCCTGTGCGCATTTATTAGGGGAGGGGGGTCGAGTGTTGGCCTACCTTGATGACTGGCTCGTGTGGACCCCCAGTCTCCATGTGTCGGCTGACCAAGGGTCTGATTCTTTTCTCGCTCACTGGGTTTAGGTTCCTGGTGAACTGGCAGAAGTCCCAATTGGTGCCATCCCAGGTTCGGGCTTAGTTGGGTCTGTTTGCTAGATCGGCGAAACAAAACAGATCACTAGCTGGTTAAAATTGCAACCTACATCCGAACAAAGCAAAATAACTTCCCCCAAAAGAAAACAAACAAGCTAGAAAAGAGAACATGCTGGACCTTATTTTCATTAACAATGATGAACTGATCAGAAACATAATGATTACAAATACCTGTTACTCAGATCATAACTTAATTGAAGCTCTGACAAGCATGGGGAGTAGACCTGCACAACCAGCCCCAAATCTCAGAGGAGGAAAATTCAGCAAATTTAATTTCAATAACAAACAGGTAAACTGTGAGCAAATAAAACAAGATCTCACAGAAATAAGCTGGAAAGAACAACTAGAAAATGCAAACCTGAACCAGTGCCTGGAAAAAATAGGCTCATTTTCACTAGAAATATGCTCAAACTGCATACCACTAAGAAAAAAAAAAGAGGAAGAGATGCAGTTTGGAACGGTTTTCCCTCTATAGGCAAAGAAAACGAATCGCAGAACAACTTGAGTCACACCCTATCTCAAGAACGACGAAGAAGGCTAGGCAAAGAAATTGAAACGATTGAACTAAACCTACAAAACATCATACAAAATCCAAGAGAGTCAGGGAGCAAAAGGCCATTAGTGAAATAGAGAGAAATCCTAAATATTTTTTCTTCTATGCAAAATCAAGATCAAAAACCACATCGGGCCGGGCCCCTGCGAAAGGGAGATGGAACTTTCACTGATGACAACAAAGAAATGAGCGAAATACTGAGGAATCAGTACGACTCTGTTTTCAGTGAGCGACTAAACACACTGAAGATTGATAATTCAAATGAATTTTTCATGGATATGATACTAACATCAAATCATATGTCACACTATCCCCACTGGATTTTGAAGAAGCCATAGACAGTATGCCTATGCACTCTGCACCAGGCCCTGATTCTTGGAACTCTATATTCGTCAAGATCTGTAAAAAACCACTATTGCAGGCCCTTCACATTCTTTGGAGACAAAGCCTAGATACTGGCATTATCTCTGACATACTAAAAACAGCAGAGATAGCACCACTCCATAAAGGAGGAAATAAGACAGTGGCAAAAAATTACAGACTGATAGCACTAACTTCACACATAAAAATCTATGAAAGAGTGCTAAGAAGTAAGATCACAAAATAAAAGAATCACAGCATTTCCATAACCCCAGACAACATAGTTTCAGAACAGGGCGCTCTTGCCTATCACAGTTGCTGGACCACTATGACCACTTTGTTTGTCTTCCATGGCATTAGATGCCATGGAAGACAAACAAAATGCTGCTGGAATTTACACAGATTTTGCAAAAGCCTTTGACAAATGTGACCATGGTGTTATTGAATGCGTTCAAAAGGAATTACCAGAAAAATAGGCAGATGGATGTACAATTTCTGAACTAACAGAACACAATCCGTTTTGTCGTTTTATTCCAGGCCGGCTGGGGGCGGTGGGGTCCATCCTTCTGTTGTGCTCACAGTACTGTGCGAGAGTTCACAGCAGTTTGGCTGTCACTTCGGATGGTTTGAGTTGCTCGATGCTCTACTATCCAGCTACGTTCAGAATGCTCTCCGGTGGGGGCAATGAACGCCAGCAGTTCATTGCCTGAACTGCAGGGGTTCTTTTCAGTCCTTGTCTCTTTGGGGCTGGTCACTTCGAGTGGCTCATTTGCTGAGTTCTTGGGGTTTGGTTTTCCTGGCTGTTCATATCCAGGGAGTGTCCTGTGTCCTGGTGAGCAGCCTGTTCCGGTTCCTTTCCCTGTCCAGGGATTGGATGGTTGACACCAACTCGTTCTGTTGGCACTGCCAGACGTACAGGCGCCCGGAGGTGTGGGCCTCTTCGTGTCGGCGGAGTCAAGGCATCTTCCGGTATATGTGATGCCCTTCCCCGCCTGCAAGGCCGTCCGAGTTGATGCCTTTCAGGGGGACTGGTCGGGGTGGGGTTACGTGTACCTCTTTCCTCCGGTCTAGCTGTTGCTTCGGTTTCTGGCTCGTTTGGAGACTTCCCAGGGGAGAGTAGTTCAGTTGACTCCTTGGTGGTCGGCCCAGCCTTGGTTTCAGGTGCTGCTTGCTCGGTTTCCGAACCCGGCAATTTTTGTGCGGCTCCTCCTCTTTCAGCAGATCAGTCCGGTACGGTAAGTGGCTGGTTCAGTCTCCTCCGATCTTTGCGTCTGGCCTTCTGATGCAGGTTTCTCACCGCAGGTGGTCAGGTGGCTTTGTTGTTGGTG